GAAAAAAAGATGAAAGTGTGACTCAGTTCCCCCATCCATCCAAAGAAATGGAAAAGGAAAAAAACTAAGTAAGGGCTTAAAAATCAGCAGCCTTCATTTTTTCTTTTATCTCATCGTTCTCCTTATGTTTCATAATTATTTTTTTTTTAAATGAGATGCTGGTAATAGAGGCGATGGCTAAAAGCTGGAGAAGTGTTAGATCTGAGCATCCGATTACCACCTCTAAAGACACTTACTGGTTTTTTTTTTCAGATTGAAATCATCTATCAGGGAGCACGCAGACGTGATAGGAAGCCAATGCTCAGCAAGCCAGCTCGGATCGATGGCAATCAGAAGATCCTGAGATCTTCTGCCTCCTGCTCCCTCCAAGACAAGCGAGGAAGACAAGTTCAAATTCCAGGTCAGGACTGCGGTCACCGCGTCCTCAATTCATCTCTACTGTCACATCCGTTGGTCAAATGGGCCATGGCTGCTCCCGGAGAAACAAGCTGTGTGCCGAGCTTGAAATGCATTAGGAGAGCAACACAGAGGAGCCTGAAAATCAATTAATTATACAAATAACATTAGTGATTTCCCAAAGTTGTTCGGCCCTGGGTAGTCCCGTGCACCTCTGGTCCTCCACATCACGTTCCAGGGGCACTGCGTTCGCTCAGAGACAAAAGGAGTAATTAAAATCAGGCAAGAAAAGCAGCATTTTAATTTCTTCTCTTTCTGGTTGTTTTTAGGCAGGCCTTTTTCGAAGACAGTTATACAAAAGTCTTTGAATTAACAGGCAATTACTTAATTAGGCACTTAATTGCAAATTACAAGGAGTGAACTGTGTTTTTTCTCTATTTGGCAATGTAAAATGTGTCCCTGTGCTATCTGTAACAGCAAAATCCCCTCCTTTCTGGGAAAACCTGTCTCGCACACAAAGCAAGACAAGTTTTAAGTGAAAATCATTTCATTTTTGGCTTTAATCGGTTGGGAAAAGGGGCCTTAGAAGCACACAAACCACTTTCAGGTAGAAAAGCAAACTGAAAAGACGCTGGAAGTCAGACCCGCCAGAGTTATGTCAGGTTCCAGTAATTTATATATGAAATGTCTAAGAAAAAGTGGGAGGCTTTGCAAATCAGTGATGGAAAAGGGTTGACTTGCGCAAACAGCGTTGGACAAGAAGGAACATCCTGGCTGTACGGGTACTTAAACAGAGCGCAGCTTTCTAGGCTCATCCTGGACTTATCACCACCTGCTTCAAAACAAGACTGCATTTTTTCTGAAGCGTGCTCCAACCCAGATTTTGGTGTAAAAAAGTCACCAGCTGACGCACCCAGCCAGGCAGCATTCCTCCATGGGCCACACGCCAACGGAAACCCTTGGAGATGACACCCGAGGGCTCTTCTTGCTCCCCAGGGCCATGGTCTCAGCTCTGCATCCAGAAGAAATTAATGTTGGCCAAATTTGCCCGTTGTCAAGCCCACCCGACCCCCTCAGTTCCTTTCTTGTCCAGCTTTTGGGTGTAACATGGAGCACGAGGGAACTGGGGCTGTTTAGTCTGGAGAAGAGGAGGCTGAGGGGGGACCTTATTGCTCTCTGCAACTCCCTGAAAGGAGGGTACAGTGAAGCAGGTGTTGGTCTCTTCTCCCAAGTAACCAGCGATAGGATGAGAGGCAATGGCCTCAAGTTGCATCAGGAGAGGTTCAGATTGGTTATTGGGAAAAATTTCTTTACTGAAGGAGTGGTCAGGCACTGGACCAGGCTGCCCAGGGAGGTGGTGGAGTCCCCATCCCTGGAGGTGTTCAAAAAGCATGTAGGTGTGGCACTTGGGAACATGGTTTAGCAGGCACGGTGGTGTTGGGTTGGTGGTTGGACTTGATGATCTGAGAGGTCTTTTCCAACCTGAACGATTCCATGACTCCAAATGTGACTTTTTGTCCAGTTTCTGGGCAAAACCCAGCCCAGGTGGGGCACCCCGAGGCGAGG